CACGGTCTCTCGGCGGTAATTTCTGCTGTGTGCTTTTGTGTCCGCTAGGACCGTTTTATTTTAATTGGAAGTGCAGATTTTGCAGTAGAGCTCATAATTTTGGTCCCTGTATCTTATCTGTATCAGTAGCCTTATCACCCTGCAACTCACAACTGGTAGTCCACTGAAGCTAAGCAGGTGTGAGCCTGGTCAGTACCTGGATGAGAGACCTCCTGGGAAAAACTAAGGTTGCTGCTGGAAGAGGTGTTAGTGGGGCCAGCAGGGGGCGCTCACCCTGTGGTCCATGTGGGTCCTAATGCCCCAGTATAGTGATGGGGACACTATACTGTAAACAGGCGCCGTGCTTCGGATGAGACGTAAAACCGAGGTCCTGACTCTCTGTGGTCATTAAAAATCCCAGGGCGTTTCTCGAAAAGAGTAGGGGTGTAACCCTGGCGTCCTGGCCAAATTTCCCATTGGCCCTTACCAATCATGGTCTCCTAATAATCCCCATCTATGAATAGGCTTCATTACTCTGCTCTCCTCCCCCTGAGAGCTGGTGTGTGGTGAGGGTTCTGGCGCACTATGACTGCCGTCGCATCATCCAGGTGGATGCTGCACATTGGTGGTGGTGGAGGGGAGTCCCCATTACCTGTAAAGCGCTTTGAGTGGAGTGTCCAGAAAAGCGCTATATAAATGTAAGCAATTATTATTATTATTAACTATCGTAACTGGTCAAATAAACAAATAGCACCAAATTGTGTAACCTTCATCTAATAACTTCCTGGAATTCCAGGAAAACACGATATCAAGGTAGATGATGCACTATTCTCATTTTCTCGTGTTATATAGTATAAGGTTCAGTTATATGTTACGATATCACATGCTATGTCCTATGCTTTATAGTAATGCAGTAGCTAGTTACTAATTGTATATACATCAATACATCACCGGTAACCAGTTTGTGGCAATCGAGCATTTCTTCATATTGTTAAGCTAATTAAAATTAATTGGCATAAAGCTGGGTTAGCACTCTCTGATGTCATTGGAACTTCAGTAAGAGGTGTTTCGGTTTACTGCCAAAATGAGGAAATTACATCGCTGGTAAAGTAGCACAAAAGACCTTGCATTTACACCTGCCCTTTAATTTCTGAACGTCCAGATTATGAATTTTCACTCTGAAGCGTGCATTTTCATTCCGTTCTTAATTCGCAATGAGATTTGAGCTACAACTCAGGACCTCAGTGCAACTGCATTTTTAAACTTTCTTCACAATTTTTTTTTTGCCTTAACCACTGTCCCAGGGTAAATAGGGTAATTATAATGAAAAAAGCAATAATGTCCTTACTTTGAGAATTCAGGGCATTGTTAGGATGAAAACAAGTAATGCTGGCTGATTTTCTAAACCTGGGGAGCAGATTGGAAGGGTTAACATGCAAAGTAACGGGGGTTTTGTTTTCGGTTTCCGAATTTCCACCTTATGAACAGTTTTTGAGGCATAAATCATCAATCGCTTTATTCAGCACAGGGCTGCAGGAGAGATGGAGCCTACACCAAGGATATACCACTATACCAAGCAAAGGGCACAAGGCAGGGTACATCCTGGACAGAATGCCAGTCCATCAGAGGGCACACACTCACGCCAGGGCCAATTTTCCCAGAAGCCAATAAACCTGCCATTATGCCTTTGGACTGTGGGAGGAAACCCATACAAATGCAGGGAGAGCATACAAACTCCACACAGATAGCACCACGGGTATGAAATTGGACCCAGGCCCCTCTGTGCTGCTATACTAACAACAGCACCACTGTGATGCCCACAGGCTTAATCAGTGCCTACTTAATTAGTACATGTTAGCGAGCCATTGAACCAGGGCTTGCAGAATTGGTCTCAATCTGAATGCGGTGTACTACCCTGAAGCTCCATTTGGAGTAAATAAGCACTTGACAAGGGCTACTTTTCGAAACCTACAAATTCTGTAATTTATTTAGCACTGTTAAGACATTCTTTAATACAACCCAATCATGCTGTGCAAAAAGGGTAGAATGATGATTTTATACTGCAGCTATGAAAAACATGATCAGTCTTTCAACGCTGTCGCCGTTGTTAATTTGTTCTACCGGCTTTTTAAAAAAAAAAAACTAAAACTTTCCTTGAGTTGTAACATGAAGAAATTGTGAATTAAATATAAACTCCAACCTACGAAAGTGGCAGGCTGGTCTATTCCAACACTACTGCCTTCCAGTCAGTTTAATTCCCTAGAGCCTCGATGTAATTTTGGTAGCGCTTTAGCTGAAATTTGTCGGGAAGGTTACATTTTGAGTATTGCCGCAAGAAATGAGCCTTTTCAGAGTAACTGGTATGTTATCGGGAAAGCGTGAGTGAGGGATATGAAAGAACTTTTTTTGTTGGAAAGTCTGAGATGTTGGTGGCCGCGTCGGCGGGGGTTTTCCATACCGAAGTGACAAAACGCTGAGAAAACATTCCTGCTTTTTCTCTCCATTTTCCGTTTTTATGAAGTGGCTTCGTCCGTTATTGGCTCATGTTCCAAACGTCGTGTACTTCAACAGTCCTACTGAAGTATTCATTTGGTCTTGGCAGAGGAGACTCTGGTAGCGTTTTTTTTTTAATTAAGTGTTATGGAAACGGGTTTGTATCACAGATTCACAAGGTTTTATGGTGCTTTTTAATAACTGACATTTTGCTACAAAAGTGTACAAAAGGGTTATGTTTAAGAATATAGAAGTTAAATGGTATTCGTTTTAAAATATGCAGTTTGGAGTTTTGTCCCATGTTTCCGTGTTTAGTTTTCTCTTCTTGGTAGGGATTATTGATTACGTTCAATAACAACATAAATGTTATGTTTAAAAAGGGCTAGGTATGATCTGGGTGAGGTGAATATACAACCAGGCCTCTCCCTGTGGTGGCTCATTGAAATCTGTGTGCATGGAATTTCCTGAACGCACGATGGCGCCAGTGAGCTTGTCGGAAAAGGCTTTCCTGTTATTAATATAAGCCTTTTCCCTCGTAAACGTCGGACCTAATATGTAGTTTCAGGAGAAATACAGGTGTGATGGATCGCAAGGATAAAGCCCTATATATTCCAGTTCCGTGGTGATGTCTATATAATAGTATTTTTAAAAGATTCACGAGTGCACCGTGGCAGTGGACAAAATCTCACCTTTAGAAAATCTTATAAAAATTGGCAGTGGTATAGCGTGGACATAATAAACTACTACTGAATACAGTGTGAAATTTGGCAAATGTGGCAAAACATGGTACTGTGGGAACCATATGAAAAGCTATGGTATAAACGAATAAAATATTGGAATACCGTGAAGGTACTGACTATACTAGAAAAGATAGTTAAATGTGTGTTTACTGTAAATCTAAAGGACTACACAAGCGGTACATCAAAACCATTGAATACACACGCGGGAGGTTAAATTAAAGTACCAATAAATTCCAGTTCCAGTAAATTCTAGCCTAAAGTCCCGTGTGAATTTCTTTTCATTATTTGACTGCATTTGACCTGAAGAAAAAAGATGGTTATATATAGCAAAAATGCATTGTAATCGTTGCTTCATATGCAGTGTCCTTGTTAACGCTTTGTTGGTAAAATTGCGAAATTGCATCACTAAAATATCTTAAGCATGCTGACTCAGTTGATACCCGAAGTGCCATTTGAACTGTAACTGTACTAAGCAGTGGCCGTGAGTTTTTGTCTGTATACACTAAGCTATGGTATAGGCTCGGTTGTGTATCGGATTTCTCTCTACTTTTTCGTCTTTGCCCGTTAGCCGTTGCAGCTCCTTGCTGTAACTGTATTTTATCTCAAAGCGCAAAAGATGAAAAGTGTATCATTTACATCCCAGCACTGAAAGGGGCGATGAAGTGCTGCTTGTCTACTGTTAATCAATATACCGGGCAAACCATACCATGTGGCCAATAATATATATTTTTTTATATTGAATATTTATATTATTATTATTGTAAAATACTGTTTCGCGCATTTTTTTCTGAATCATATTAAGGAAAAAAATATTAATATAAGTTCAACTTCCTGTTTGTTTGTTTTTTATTTCCCTATGTGCTATCAATTGTAAAGGCCATTTCAGAGACTGCATATAATTAAAGTTGTTTCAGCAGCAAAATGCTTCAGGTTTTTAAGATGAAAATACTGTAGCCTATTTTGTGTCTTGTTTGGTGTGCCACCGTTTTAAGTAACGTCGTTCCTGGACGCTGTAGTGTTTATCAATATGTGTGACATATTGTCAGGTTGGGCATTTGAAACTACAAGAGTA